GCACGCTGCAGCGGCCGCCGCCTTAAATAGCTGCGGCCGCCTTCTTAATCCTTTACGTGGTTCTGGGTTCACCATTTTTGTACCGGGTTTGATTGTGCCTCACCTGGCGCAGCATGCTGCAAGATCCCTTTGTCAGAGTCAGCGCCTCGAAGCGATGCACGGCAGGAAAACGGCGATGACAAGGCCACCTCGGCCGGTCCCCCGGGCCTTCCGGACTTTTCTTGTTGGGTTTGAGTGGGTTTCCGATCGCTCGATCCATGCTTCCTTGTAGCTGAAATAGGTATTTGCTTTTATTTTGCCCTGGTGGTTTTAAAGGGCATCGATTTCACCACTGGACATATTTTCGATACATGGGTATGCCTCAAAATTCAAGAGCTTGGGCAAACCGCAGGCTTTAGTCTTTGGTTCCATTTACCTTTTGGTGCCATTTTGGTACCACTTTTTTGAGCCACAGCCAATTGAATATGTTTCTATTTCCCCTGTTGGCTTAAAGGGAATCGACTTCACTGCTGGACATACTTGTATTTTACCCAGGCGATCAGAGTCGGGCAGCCACGGTCCACAAGCCTCTTTGACCCCTCGTCCCAATCACAAGCAGACACTGCTGCTCTCTGAAACATTTACATGAATTAGGTTTACCCTTCGAGTGCCAGGATTTGATTGTGCCTTGAATGGCAAGTTTGCATATATATATATATATACATATAAATATATATATATATATATATATAAATATCGAGCAGTTATTCTTTCAAACAAAAGTCTCAGGTTCCCTGTTTGCACGTTTTGTATTTCTCCGATTCTCCCGATTCCCCGTGCTTGTGTAATTGTTTCTCCGGCACATCTCAGGGTTTTGGGGTTTGCTGGTTGCGTGAGCCCAGGTGGAGGGCGCAGAGGCAAAGATCAAGGAGCGTGCCCAGCCGTTCGGCTCCTCGGGGGTTTTTCAGCTGTTTGGTTGGTTTTGGTGGTTGTCTTTTTCCATTTAAATCCAGCAAGACATTTTTGCAGGCTTTCAGATTTTTGGTTGGTTTGGTGGTTGGAACTTTCAGGGGGGGATGTGAAAACGAACTCCACGGATTTGTCTTTGGGAGGGTCTTTGTTCTTGGGTTTCGACTGGCGTCATTCTCTTGACTGTTGTTGGGTTTAAAGTCAGAAACTCGGGTAGGTTTCCTTTAAGCTACTGTACCACTGGGGCAGTGTAAAGGGGTTCTACCACACCACAAAGCCCTGGGAATGTCGCTGGCCGCGCTCGGCCTGGTGTTTTACGGGGGGCCGGGTGATGTGCGCAGCGTGTGCATTGGCGGCCGGAAGGTAAGTAGACCCACGTGCAAAGCGGGGTCAAGGTCCCTATCCGATACAAACAAGTTGTAACTGATTTCAACAGATGCAACAAAACACTGCTTCCAAAACCTTTGACCAGCATCCACAAGGCCAACTCCCTCGTCAAGTTTCTTGACACAACAGATCCCCGAGAAGCTCCGAACCCCTCATTGGAGGCCCCTTTGGACTTTGAAACCCCTTTGAATGACCAATGAGTCGGGAAGTCGGAAAGGGCTCCCTTTATTTCACCAGAAAAAAAAACAGCAACAACAACTGTGTCAAACAAAGGGGCCCTCCCAAAAAGTGCGCATGAGCCTTTCCGCGAAAGTCCATGTTTCCCATCGAAGAGTTGGTCCGGCAGGAGATGGAGGGCAAGGTGGCGCAGCTGAGTGCCCTAAGCGCCAAGCTGGAGGTGGAGCGCGGCGCCAAGTGCGTGGAAACCTGCGCATCATCGGCAGCAGCGGCCCTTTGAAACGAGGCGCTCCCCAACACAGAAGTCGCGGACTTCAAACAAATCAGCCATTGTCGGATTAATATGGCAAAAGCTCCCATTCCCAACCTTGATCCGTCTTGCCATTGGTAGTAACGGCTCAACCCTAAGTGCCGAAGACATGGTGCTGCTTGAGAATCAAAGCGAACTGCTTTGCCCCACCAGAATTGAAGGTTCCCGGGTCGCACACGAAAAGATGCCTCAGGAGAATGTTAGGGATGCTGGTAGCTAATGACAGGCGCGCATGTCGGGACCCAGAAGAAAGGTCCGGGTGATGCCTCCAGGGAAAAAAACATGTCCCGCGCCAATCTTTCAGGGCCGTATCGATGCGCGGTGCTGCCTTTCGCGGTCTTTGTTCATGTTACTTTCACAATAGTAACAGTAAATCCAAGTGTTTGGAGTCTATGTCTAGACAGCGAGGTCGAGGTGCCATCCCAGAGGCCTTTGCAACTGGAACCCAGTTCCGTGGCACCCCTCTTCGCTTTCTGAGTTGGTGGGTTTCTGGCCAGGAATGGTCAGCCCTCAGGCCTTTTTCTACTGGGTTACTGGTCAACCGGGTAGTGTTGCAGAATGGCAATTGGGTGTACCAACTGGCTATGTTGAAATGTGGGTTGAATTTCCGAATTCCCACGTCACCTGGAGGCAACACATGTCAGGTGACTATGGCTCACATGGTCTTGTGTATGTGCTTTGATGTGGTTTGAGGTACAAAAACCTCGGCAAGGATGTGATCAAGAATGAGGCTGGTTGGGGAGCTGTGCGATTGCATGTGCTCTCCCTGCGGTACAATGTGTTGAGAACGAACCGTTCAGTTGCCTCACACTTGGCTGTGGCTCGAAACTGGGGACCTTTCCAGTCTTTGTGCGATGACACATCTATCACGTCTTTCCCAAAGGCGCTGTTGTTCACACTGACCCACTTGCTCGTCATCTTTCTCGTCCTTCCGCCTGCTTGGTTGTCACCCTTGGCGGTGCCCGCTAAGACATTGCAAGATGTTGACACAGAGAGCGCAGATGCATGTGTTTTGCCTCAGATGCCAGGGAAAACGTTTCTTGCCTGAACCGTGTGCAGGCTCCATTTCTACAAGGGAAGTTGTCTTCCAACAGGGATTTGTGCTCTTGCAATTTCGTGGATGGGAGGCGCGGTGGGAGGTAACTATTGCCCAAATCCTCCAAATCTTGCCCTCAGCTCTCTGGGAAGAAGGCGCTCTTTCATCTCGTTTGCAGGCATCCATGGACGAGGTCATGGCAATGCGGAAGAAGCAGTTGGTGGCCTGGCTGAGTTTGGAGAGTTGGCCTGTGGAGGGCTCCCTCCCCGAGTTTCTGGACCTTAAACTTTTTGGGAAGGCCCTGATTTGTAGCGGCAAGACAGCAAACTCGGACTTTTTGGGGGCCAATGCCCACTCGGGAAGCTTCTCTTTCGCTTCCCGGCAAGCAACCAACCACACAGCAATCCTAGTTCTCCCAGTGATCTTGGCAAGGTCTTTACCAGATCTCCACACTTCTTTTATTTTTCACAGGATCTTTACAAGACCAGCTCTACGGAAGGTCCCGTGCAGTTCCTTTACAAGATCTCTGGCACGGATTTCTGCAACATATCCTGTAGAAAATCTCTTGGGAGGAACTCCGTGAAAGAGAGTATATGCATGAAAGTCTGCCCAAAGCCCCTGTCCACAAGAAGTTCCTTCCCTCTCTCTCCGTCTCTCTCGCTCGCCGCGCAAGATCTTTGAAGGTTCTGCGCAAGATGCCTGAGAGGACATCTCTAGAAGGCGGCCCTGCACCCTCCAATGAGGATCTCTGTACAAGGTCCCTGCGAGAGTCTTGAGACCCACCGCACCGCAGCGACAGCGATTCAACACACACACACACACAGAAAGTCGGCACAGGGTTGGTTCGATGTTAAAGATTCGCGCCGTGCTGCAGCGAGAACGATCCAACACGCCAAAGGCCGCAGAGGGTGCACCAATCCACCATTGCCAAGATTCGCACGGCCCCACAGCGAGAGCGCGTCCTCGAAACACGCACACCCGTGGCAACACCGTTTCGTGCGAGCCTGCGCAGTCAAAATCAGTACTGAAGATTCTAGAGCCAACTTTTGTGCGAGCCTGCACGGTCAAAATGAGCGACACGTGTGTTGGCGCCATGATCGAGCAACCATTCCTTACATTGACCGCGAATTCGACCCCCTGAGTGTATTCACACTGTTTGGGGAAAGGTACCCTCGAACACACACTCTTTAGACGTGGAGTGGAAGAGTGGCCCAGGGAGCTTTGGCCCACATGAGCTGCATGAGCGACATGTGTCGACTTAAAAGGCGCGTGCCACCAGGCGAAGTTTCAGAAGGACGAGAGCGACCTGCTGAACAGCATCAACAACGCCGGAAGCTCGGGGTTGCGATGGGGAACCCGGACTTTGGGTCCACAGCAGGTTCCGGTGAGCGTATGTCTTTTCGATGCTTTTGATCGGATCCTTCACGTCCTTGTGTGCGTCTCCGACTCGTCGTTTTGTTTGTAGTTCCTTCTGGCGGGAAGCCGTGGATCTGGGTGCCTGCAGGCTGCCAAACAAGGCCGTTGCGCTCAAATGGCGCAACGAGAGTCCTCCAAGTCACGAATAATGCAGAGTGCTTTGGATAGCCATGATAGCCACTGGTCTGGATGCTCAAACAAAGAGTACGGTCCTGACCCGGATGGGTGTTCGATTGAACACGCTGAGCTTCGTGCCCTTAACAACGAACGGACAGATATGTTTCATTCTCAGAGCTCGAGTTTGGAAGTTCCAACAGACATTCATCAGTCATGTATATAGTGAGCATGTTCTTCTGGTTTGATGCGCCGGGAGAGAACGGTCAAGGCCAATTAGAAATCAGCAGCCAAGGACCAATCATCTCGGCGCACAGACATTCAAAAACATTGGGGGTTCAGAGGGTCAAAAGTAAGCAACCATCGGCAGCATCCAGGGCCGCCACCTGGGTGAAACCTTGGTATATTTCACCCAGGTAAGTGAAGGTGAGTAAGGGACAATCCCAGCCATAGATGGGTGCGGATATCCGCCATCCACCTTCTGCATTCTTTGGCATGGTTTTGGGTACACCATATTAGTACCAGGTTTTGATTACGACTCACATGTCTTCTCAGTTTGCATCGATTCTACCTGTCATCGTCATATGGCTTTTCCACAAGCAGCCGCTAGCCATGGTTGGGGCCACGGTTTTGTCTTGCTTGTCTCCCGAGCACAAACTCCGAGGTGAAGTCTGCCACAGACGTCGTGGCCTCTCGGCTCAGATAGGGGGGTTGTCGATATTGAGCCTGCTACTGGGGCGACAGTTGACTTGCAGACAGGCAATTTCAGATGTATCACAGCTCCATTCTTGTTAATGTTTGCTGTCGCACCAAGCAGTGAAGGACGGCAATTTCATTCTTGCAGCGGTTCAAGTGGAGACGATCAACACAAGGCATAAATACAAGTAGTGTATCGATCGATGGATGGAGGGAGAGAGGGCGGGAGAGAGGGAGAGAGGGAGGGATGAAGACAGACAGACAGACAGACAGACAGAGATAGACAGAGACAGACAGGCAGGCAGGCAGGCAGACAGACAGAGGGAACGCAACGAATATTCAAGCACACAGTGGAAGCATTGTTCGGCAGAGAAACCCATAGACAACGAAAACACATACATATTCTTTGTGCGGGACTCGCGTGGGTTTCCGGAGCTGTTGTTTGCCGGTCTGAGGTTTCTCACAGACCTAGGCAGCGGGTAGGAAATAGTGGATCCACCAGGTAGCAGTCGCGGGTTCGAACCCTAAGGGGTTCTAGAGGAACCCCCAGGGGTTCTAGCCCCAAGGGTTCTTGCTTGCACCAAAGGGCAACGTGTGCGGCATCCGAAAGGAACTCAAGTTTGAACCCATGCAACGAACGGATCGCCCATCTGTTCGTTTGGGGACATGGAGCCAACGTACCCAGCGAGGGGACTTCGGGTGTCAGAAAAAAACCGCCCAGGCAAGCTCGCAGGCTTCCTTCTTGCAGCTGACACAGCGGGAGGCGTTGGGCTTGGAGCTGACCATTGCAAGCTTCTGGGCTGGTTCTCGCAGGGCATTGCAACCTGGTTTTGGTGGGATTGTGGCTTTGGGTTTCGGGAAGAGATCCTTCCTTCGTGCCCGGGTTATGCGCTAAAGCCAATCGCTTTCTTGAGGATACGGATGGTCACCACGGATCCTGCAAGCGCACGTTAGACAACCAGCCAGCATAAGATCTCCTTTTAAGGTATCCTTACATGGCTCAGAATTCTGGAGGTTGTTGCTGGCTAGCTGACTCCTTGTCAGCCATAAAGGGAGGCTGGGAGGATATTCTCGATATTGTTCTGCTTGAGGTTTTCATGGAGCAACGAGACGAAGTGGAGAAACAACCGCCCTGTGCCACTGTTGCCGCCGTCTCACGAGCTTGTTGAGTTCCTTGCTTGTGCGGGGGGCTTCGTTTTTTTCCTCAAAAAAACCCTCGGCTAAACATCTCCAGACCTGCCTTCCTCATCCGAGACTTGCAGCTCGCGGCCTTTGCCTTTGCTGCGTTTATGGGATCTAAAACCCGAAGGGGACTTGCAGTTGCAGCACCCAAACACCACCGGGACACCACCAACACATAAGTGGGACACCACGAAACAGCCACTGAAACACCACCAGGACACCACCGCCTGAATCCTTCCGAACACGTGGCAGGGGCTCAACCCACTTGGCATGGGCATGTGAACACTGTCACGCCCGCGTGTCGCCAAAAGAAACCTAGCTGGGGTTGTGCTGATTGACAATTGAGGGTGCCCTTCCAGCAGCTAACATGGAAGTGCACAGACCCCTGTAGAAAGACTACTTTCCTCTTGGAAAGGGCCTTTTTGCACTTCCATGTTAGTTGGTGGGAGGGTAACACTCCTTTTTTGGATTGTTTTTCGCTGGGCAGGCTATCACCAAGGACCTGCAGCGAATCCTGGCGAGGCTCCAGTCCAGGGACTGCGGTTGGGTGTTCTTCGTTGAAGGAAAAGGACAACAAAAGGATCCGTGCTCAGGTCTCTTATTGTGGGAATTCACTCATTAGGAAGGTGGCAAAACAGGTTGGTGGCGACCCTTTGGGCCTGTTTCAGACTAAGGCCAAGCCAACCTGAGACTAAAGCATTTGGGTCGATTCCTGGCTTTGCTACATCCCCATGAGCCAGGTTGGAATTTTGCAGGAGAGCCAGCACCTTTGCACCAGGACCCCACTAATGACATGCATTTACCACCAGGATGATATGCTGCATGGATGGATCTCCCCAAACAACCTAGTTCAACTTACGGATATTTGTTTGATTTGAGAAGCTTCCCTGTGCAACAAGTGTCCACAACGGTGAAGAGTGGAGGGTCAAACAAAAGCAGCCAAGCACGTACTCAGTTCCAACAGGCAAGTGACGTGCTTTTTCCGTGCCGCATGTGTAATGACCGCACCTTTGGCATCGGTTGAAGGGAACCAACACAAAAAGGGTGTTGGACGTCTTGGTTCTTGCGCAGTCGGGAAAACCGGCTCCCAAACCGCTCCCAAGGGTCGAACGAACCGGCTCCCTGGAAACTTCAGCTAGCCTCTTTTCGAGCTGCGCTCGATCTAGATGGGTGTGGGTCACAAATGGGGAACGCCCAAAATGGGTTGTTCCGGTAAAAGGAACCAAGGACTAAGCCAGGGATTGTTTGGTTTGGTCGCAGGCATTCCAGCGACCTCAGCTCTGCGACCAGCGGGGAGCTCGCAAGCTTCCTGCAGGACCCCAGCACAGGCCGGGGATACCATCAATCAACTTATGGTGTTTTTCAAGGAAACCCGTCCGAAAAAGAAAAGACACACTCATTTAGGCCAGGTTGGTTGAAATTTTTGGGGTTGACATCAAGGTCAGCTAATGTTTGGTGTTTGGTTGTTTGGTGGCTTTGAGTTTGTTTGTTCTTTGGTTCAAGAACCGAGGTTAGCTTTCCGCGCGTGGCGATGTTGGGAAATTTGGGTTGGTGGACTTTTTTTTATTGACTCTAGAAAAGTGCCAAGGGTTAAAATTGGTGGTTTCGGGAGTTGAACCATTGGTTCTTCAGCAAGGGAACGCACGCCCTATCGGGTCAACATCGATAGGTGATGGGCGTGTCTTCTACTTGTGGGGAACGCTTTTTGGGGTTGTTTCAAATGGCAGCCGATTGCAAACCAGCCACCTGCCACGGTTTTGCAATTGACAACTCCTCAAATTTCCCTTGTTGGGTGATTTGAACGTGGCCGTTTGGGTCATTTTAGACAGAATTCCTTTTGGAGGGGTGATGTGTTCCGATTGGGCATGAAAGAGCCTTTCTGGTGTGTGTGGTCAGTTGCTACGTGTATTGTCCTTGGGCTTTGGACTCTCGAAATGTCAACCACAGAAGCTTGCCTGTGCACCCTCGAATTCACACACACACACACACGATGGTACGCAGACACCGCCAGGCAACGTCCAGGGGGTGCTACAGGGCCTCGCGGCCGACTTTGAGGGAGACCTCAAAGAGCTGCAGGCGCATTGCGCGTTGTGCGTTGTGTGCCAGATCTTCCGCGTGTTGGAAGGCCCCCAAGCGTAGATGTTGAGTTGGGACGGTGCTAAGCCTCGCATCCCTTGTGTTTTGGGATGTTTTGTGCGGGGCGTTCACAGACAGGTGTCCTTTTTAGGATGGGTTGGAACATGGATGGATTCCACTGACACGTCGAAACGTCTGTCCAGTATAATTGGGACTGCGTCTCCAATGACATCGCGACCTTGAGAGATTTGGCTTGCGATGCAAAGTGACCAATGAAGGTTCCGTTCTTGGCAGTCCCCAATTTCAGATAGAGATTGCCCAGATGCATGTGGTTGGCTCGTCTTCTTTTAGGATGTGGACCGCTAACATGGCGCAACGGTTGTCCTCTTTCTCTTTGACACCACCAGAAAAGGGGGGCCAACTCGAAAAAGGACGAGCTACCCATGTACTGTAACCGCGATTTAGACAATTCCGGAATTGCAGCGAAGCAGGTTGCAACCTGATGGGTGCAACACGTTTCCCAAAGTTGATTGGATACCGGACATGAGTTGGTTGGCCTTCAACCCATCAAGGGGGTCTTCAATTCACCCATCGAGCCATCAATCAGGGGCTTCTGGTTCGGCGGGCAGCGCCATCCCTGTCATATGTCTGGGAAGGGCGGCACAAAAGGATGTTTAGTAAGAGACCGTTTGCAAGGAGTTGTGCAAAGTAGGTGCGAGCACATGTTGAGCCGCTTGCCTGGTGTTAGACTAGGTGTGACACGTATTTCGTGTTGAGCGAGCGCATTTTGCAGGAAGAGGAGAAGACCAACAAGGCGGAGTACGAGATGCTCATCGCGGCAGACGGCTGAGATGGGACATGGAGAGTGCAGGTCCCATGGGAGTGAGGTGAATGAGAAGGTCCATGAGGCCCAAACACAGATGCCCCCGATTGTGATTAATTCTTTGCCTGGGTGAGGTTAGTTTTTTTTCATTTTCCATACTAATCCAAGTAGCACTAGAAGCGGGTAAAGTGGCGAACAGGAATTGGTTCTGGGCGCTATCATGGCCCGGGCTCGCAATTGCAGGACACCCCAAGCCGCCTTGATGGCGGTTTGATTCGAGAGTATCGTTGCACCGTTGCTTTGGAAGTCAACGGGCTTGCAAGTCTACGCATCCCCGAGAATTGTTGCAAGCAATCCAACCAAGCGGAACCCCCCCACATGGAAAACCTGACTTAGAGGCTTTGTAGCTTGGGGTCACCAAATCCCTGACCCCTCAAACCACCCGGAAAACCGTTTGATATGGTTCAAATTTTCTGCAAAGGCCACGAAGATGAGCCGGAACGCTGGAGAGTTCCCCGTGCTGTTCCCCCGTTCTTTTCTTTCCCCTCCGAATGGGCTCTGTGGCCGTCTATCAGCGGAGATCCGCGCAATGGCAAAGAGCAAGCGACAGAGTGACAGGCGACCCTCACGTTGAAGCTACTGTGGATGGACGAAATCCATTTCGCACCACTGAGAAACCATACGAAACCATTGTTGGTTGGTATTTGCAGGGGACTCATCATTCCAGGGTTCTTTGGTGGTGCAGGATTGCGGCCATCCACAGTATTAGGGTCAATCACCTTGAGACAAGCAAGCAGCAACCACGAACGAGTAAAGATATTAGCATTGTGACTCCTGGAAAATAAGCCCTTGTATCAGTTTCTGAACCTACAGTATACATATGATGTTCCCAAACAAGACTTCCGAGAAGAGAAGTGGATGACATGGCAAAGAACATGAATTGCTTAGCGAGTATTATTCACGGTCAACTCCCAGATATTGTTATGGACATGATCCCCAATTCAGGACTTGTTCAGATGTGAACTTTGGACGTCCAACACACCAAAATGAATGTTTCCAAGTATTGGATCAACAACAGTGCATTAGAGTGAAGATCGCCCAACATAGAAAAAGAGAAGTGTACCAAGTAAGATAGGTTATGCTAATAAAATAATGAAAGCTGTGAACAAGAGAAAAGGACATACCGGGCTTGTTTAATATGAGATAGAGGCGCAGGCCGAACAAGCAATCACAGGAATGAACTTGAGGGGCAAATAGTATGTTCAAAGCAAGGTCTGGATTTGATCCAACGCGTAGGTGGATATTGAAGACGGTGGTAAGGTTTAAGTCACTAAAGATGGTGAGGGCGGGCCCCCCCTTTGATGAATGGCCGTTTTCACAGTGTCATGTAAACACAGTTGATGGTTGGAGCCTGGGACAAGATATATTTTTGGAGCTGAGGTCTAAGCTTGGCACTTTTGGAGGGGACTTTGAAGAGCTGAGAAGAGGCTTTAGTTTCACAGAAAAGAACACTGATCTAGGGGTTGCTTCCCCATGCTTTTCAACCATCGTTCTTTTCAATCACCGGCTGTTTCCCCTGGGTTTTTGATAGTTTCCTGAAAAGATTCGGATCCCTGGAAAGAATGGACATGGACGGTACCCCTAGAACTGAGCCATGTTTCCTCTTTGTCTTCGGCTGCTGAAGCAACGGGAGGTGTGGTCCATCAGTGCCATACGCTGCGCCGCGCCACGTGGGTCAGATCGACAAGGATTTCCTTTTTGAGGCCATGGCCATGTGTTTGGATTCCATCGCGCGAACCGAGCTGTTCAGGAGCGACAGAAGGTCTCAAGCTGGCGCCAGGGGATATCTTCAGGTTTCCCTCCCACTAGATGGCAGCAAGATTGATCTAGGGTCCATGGCAAGCTCACGTTTCCCTAGGCTTTCCTGCGGTTTTAACATGTCGAACCCAGAACCCAGACAGACAGACAGGCACAGACAGACAGAGCATTGGCTGAACGGCTGAACGGCTGAACGTACCTTTGAAGGTCTACATTGAGTCCAAGATTTGGGCCCGCCACAAACACGCCAACGCCACTTCCCCCCCTACTGTGGGCCAAGAAACGTATGTCTGAGGAGCCCCAAAGCCAGCGCCGCCAGAGAAAAAACAAATCAAGCCTCTGGCAAAATCTGCTTGGAGAGACTGGGCGTTTTGAGCGCGGCCATGGCGTCCCGGCTGGTGCGCTGCGGCCTGGTACTGCTGACTTGGCACCTGGGCTTGCGCACCTTCGCGGCCTTTGGGCCCTCTGGGCCCTTTGGCAGCGACTCGCGCGCGAGTTCTCGGATTTCCCGGAGGGCAGACGCGTCGGTGAAGACGGGAGAAGTGGTCACGTGGGTCAACATCACGCGGAGGATCAGGCAAGCAGAGAAGGCCTCACAAGTGCTCAAAGTGATGCACAAGGAGGCCCAGAACCCGAAGATGAGCCTGGTCAGCGTGTCTGCGGCATGGTGTCGTTTGGCCAGGTTGCCGCGGCGGACTCTCACCACGAAAGCGCTCAGGGACCCATCCATGAATGAGTTTCTCAGTCTGAGCGGGTCATTGTTGAAGGAGCCGGCTGGATACGCGCGGCAGACCTCCAGCATCTTTTGGGCCGCCGGGAAGCTGCAGAGCCGCATGCGTTCGGAGCTGGAGCCGCTGTGGCCAGACTTGGCCCAGGCCGTGGCGAAGGTCGGGGAGGAGTTGGATGCCCAAGGCGTGGCCAACGTCGTCTACACCGTCGCGGTGCTCCCCACGGCCGCCTTCGAAAGCGTGGCGGGCGTGCTGCTGAGGCTGGCGGAGAGGATCCCGGCGGTGCTGCCGGAGATGAACTCGCAAGAGGCGGCCAACCTGATGTGGGCAATAGGCCAGCTGTCGCGGAGCTCACGTCAGAATGCTGTGCCGCAAGGCTCCCGCGTGGGTTTGGGTGGATGCAAACATCACCTTGTGGCCAGTTTAAGATCGGCTTCCATTTGCCAGGGTGATGCCTAAAGGGGGAGGGCGCTGGGCCAGCCGAGGAGGCACAGCTACACACCCCGCCCGCCAAAACAACAGCAAGTCAACCAATACCCAACCACAAACAAGCAACAGCGGGTGAGCATCTCCGGGCAACAACCATGGGAATCAGCCCGACTGGTCAACAATGGGACTCGGATCGATTCCGGGTTGTTTTTCCCTTTCCGCCCATTGCCCTAAAGCAAACCAATACCCCACCACACACAGAGCAGCAAAACAGAGTGTAACCATGTCCTTGTCCCAAACAATTCATCTGGGACTCGGACTCGGCTTCCTGGTTGCATTTCTCCCTTCAACGTGTCCCTTTCCGCCCATAAGTCAACCAATCCGACCAAGACACCACAAGAAGCTTCCTCCCGGGCCTCCCCGCCCCCGGCCCCCGGAGGTCTGCGGGAGGTGGTCCCCGCGCTGGTGGCCCGCTGCGGCCTGCTGCTGCCCCAGGCCTTGCCCCAGGCGCTGGCCAACGCCTGCTGGGGCCTGGCGCTGGTGGGCCACGCGGACCCGGACTTCTTGGCCGCCGCGGCCAAGAAGGCGGCGGTTTGCGGCGGCGGCCTAAAAGGGGGGCCGTAGGCGGCAGGAGTTGCCCTGTGTGTGCTCTTTTGTTAAAGTTGGATTGATGTTGTAAATGCCTGAAGACCTGTGTGTGACAGCGCGGCACTGTTGTTTCCAGGTGGCAAGCTGTAGCTCATGTAGGCTCAAGGCCTTGATCATACAGATGTGCAAAGGGCATGTACAAGAGGGGATGTATATTAACACCCCACCTTGGATTGATGTATCCCTACATCAAGACAAACAGCTGTGCTCTAGCTTGTCGAGGTGATGTAAAATTGTTATCAGCTCTACTGGCTGTTTCAATTTGTACAGCGATGCCTCTAGTGTGTCGAGCGTCTGTACAGACTGCATGTGCCACTTGATGTCTGCAAGGTGTAACTGCAACACCTTGTATCCCCAATACCCGTGTGCCAAAAATCGGCGATTACTGTGTAAGCAGTGTGGATCCTGCTTTCACTCCTGTAATGTACTCATTGTAGACCTGTGCCTTTGTTGCAGCGTAGTTCATGTAGAACAAATGTTGCTGCTCGAGAATGTAGGCGATGTGGTCTGGATGTCCTGGCACAGCATGTCCCTCAACTGTTCCACGTGTGTTGAGACTGCGTGCATCTTGCATGGAGATGTGCCTCACCAATGTAACCTGATGTGCGGGTGGCAGATGTTTAATGCTGCCAACGCCCATCAACGACAAGGCCTGTGCCGCTGTTGCATGCCTGCGGCTTGTGTCATCATCTGTGGCGAGTTGCTCGAGGTTCACGCAGGCGTTGTAGGACCAGAGTACCCTGTGTTCCAGTTGAACTTCATGTAGATCCCGAGCAAACCATTGTTGCCAGTGTATTTGAAAACCTGATGTTTAGACAGCTCATCTTGTGTCTGCATCCATGTCTTATTCATGTGAATTTGCATGTGTACTGCACTGTAGCCCCTATTGAAGAAATTAATGTAGCCGCGGGATGTCCACTCGGCAATGTGCCTCGCATCCAGCTGTACCGTGGCCACAATGAAGGTGTCGAGGTGCTGTGTCCTGCATGTCCCGACAGAAATGTAATTCAGAAGGGTTGTGACAGCCTCAAAGGGGGAACTGTTCAGCACGATGTACTCGACCTCTGGGCATCTTGCCCAACCATGGATGTGTTTCAGCTCACCATTCTCTGTCCAAGATGTGAACTCCTCAAATGTCATTGCAATGTACATCATGTTGGTCTTGTTCTGGATGGTGTCCATGTGGATCCCATCCAATGTACGCAAGGGCTGCTTCCCGGTGATGTTCTCCTCGGTGTAGCCCAAAGATGTAAGGCTCATCGCGTCCCATGTCCTCGCCACTGTGACCTCTGTGGCCGGGATGTAGTCAGCGATCCTTGTGAGACCTGACATCGCCATTGTGTGCCTTCAATGTACAGGGGTGTGTCTCCACAAAACGTAAAATGGCTGCGACATGTACCCAAGACATTGTCTGAAACATGTATGAAACCTCATGCAGTAAACATGTACCCGAGGATGTAAAAGATGTGGCCAAAGATGAACTCAAAGTTGTGTACCCAAAGCCAGAAAGGTTGTATCATCTCCAGGGCAGGTCCATGGCTGTACCTAACCTAAAGCTAAAACATGTGTGCCGGCCGTTTAGTTGTGAAACATACACGTGTGTCAACTGTGCAACTGTTGTTTAACATACTGTGCAACTGTGTGAAACTGGTGTTGTGTGGCCTCACAGGCCAACGTTGTACAGGTGCTTGTTGAGTGTGTCGCAGCTGACAAACTTTTTCAGCAGGTCTGATGGGTTGTCTTCAGACCTCACTTTGTGCATTGAAATGATTTTGCTTTTGACAAGTTGTTGTATGAAGAGGTGTCGTAGCTCGATGTGTTTTGCTTTCTTTGATGTGCCTTCTCTCATTGATATTGATTTTGCTGCACTGCTGTCTGTGTGTATCCTGATGTTGATGCGTACCTCAAATGCTTCTTTTATGAAGTTGCCGATGTAGAGGCTTTCCTGTGCTGCTGTACCAATCGCGTACAGTTCTGATTCTGCTGATGAAAGTGCTATTGTGGCTTGTGTTCTGCTGCCATAATGTACTGCTGCTCCAAAGAAGTACAGTACAAATCCTGTTGTGCTCTTTCTCGTTGTTTCACATGATGCCCAATTGGCATCTGTGTATGTGTCAATGTTGAGTGGTTTCGCTTGTCCTGTGTTTGTATCTTTGGTCGCAAGTTGTGTCGCATGTACCTTGTGCCCTTAAGGTACCTGATCATGTGCTTGAGCTTCTTGTTGTGAAACTGTGTTGGTGCTTGTAATGATCTTGCTAGCTCTTTTGCTCCATAGCTGATGTCTGGTCGTGTGTATGCTAGCCATTGCATTTTGCCAACAAGCCGCCTGTATCGTTTGTGCTGTTCGTGGTCAAGTGGTGCTTCGTCTTCTGCTGTACCTTTCATGTGTGATACCCCTGGTGATGGTGCTGGGGTGCATGTAGTCATTCCTGACTCTTCCAGGATGATGTCAACATAGTTGTTGTTCAAACTGATGTCGATGTTGTCACCTCTGTGTGAGATGTTCCTACCAAGGAAGTGGATTGTTGATCCAACTGTTAGGTCGCCTGTGTGTCTAAGCTGAACTTCCTTTTGTATTCTGCTGAACAGTGTGTTGATGATGCTTTGTACTCCTATGAATAAGAGATCGTCTACATAGATCATAATGTAGACCAGGCAGTCCTTTGACCTGTAGACATTGCTTTCTGTTGTGCATCTCACCAATTCGAGTGTGACTGTGAGAACGTGTGCTATGTGGTCTTGCCATTGTTTTGGTGATGATCTAAGACCGTAGATTGCTTTGTTTAGCCGCCACATTATGTGTCTGTTCTCTTCGTTGTAAAACTCGTGTGGTGGTCTCATTACCAGATTGTGTGTGATGGCTGCTGCATGTAGAAATGCAACACTCACGTCTCCTGTACAGACCGACCAGTTGTACACCAGTGCCATTGTGAGAAGTACTCTCAGAATGCAAAACAATGGTGTACTTGCGAAGAGTAGGTCGTGCTCTGTAACGGGTTCTGTGTAGCCTTTTGCTACTATGCGTGCTCGTACTTCGTTGTGTTTTGGTTTTAGAACCCATCTTGATTCAATGATGTTCGCTTGTTGTTCTGGTGTCATTGTGTTGCCATCAATCTCTGTGAAGACTGACTGTTCTTTCATTTGTTGTACTTCCTTCTTCATGCCTTGTGCTACAAGTTGTGGATCCAGGTCTTCTGTGTCATGTATGATCGGCTCCAGTAGGATCCTTTCATTTTCGATTTCTTGTGTGTCTTCATTGGAGGTTGTCTCCATTTGTTTACCATCCTTTGTTGTGAACTTGATGGCATTGATTCTCATCTAGCTTTTTGGTTGTTCTGCTGTTGTAGGCCGCTCAAGGGTTTGTCTCTCTGCTGTGGTGCGTTGTTGCTTGCCGGTGCTGCCTTCTGCTATTGTATCATCTCTTTCTCTTGTCTGTGATGTGTGCGGTGGTGCTGGCAATGATGGTCGTTTCTGATGTGCCGGTGATGTAGCCATAGGTGATGTTGGCTCTGCTGTCCTCTTCTGCTTTGGCTGTTGTTCGCTCGACTGTGCTGTGCTTTGTCTCTTGTTCTCTGCTGCTGTGCTTGTTGCTGCATCCTTCTGTGATGTAATTGTTTTGCTTGCTGATGGCATTGTTACTGGTGGTGTGAGAGTCGGTGTGGGCAGTGCTGATGCTGGTGTCTTCCATGGACCTGTGTGTACACAGTCCAATAGTTGCTGGTCGTATTTGTGAGGCATTATGTGCCTTCTGATTGTCCTTGCTCTGACAATCTTGTGAGGGATTCGCCTGTAGTTGTGTCCTTGCCAAGCCAGATCCCGTTGTAGAACCTTGGCTCTAGTTTTGGAAATTGTTGTACTGTTGGTAGCATGTATTGCACTGTCTCACCAAACTCGCACAATGGTGTATGCTGTTCTCTGTTCCATATGTTGAAGTAGCTTGTGCATCCATTGCTGTGCAAAGCGTACCTGTTCATGATGTTTGCACTGTGTCGAACGATCCAAGGCATGAGTGGATGTTTCATTGGAATGTCTCTGTTGTAGTTTTGCTTGATCTGTGCCTTGAGTGTTCTGATTTGTTCAAACAGTGTTCTGTGTGCTCGTTCTACTCCTCCTTGTGATTGTGAACTGTATGCTCCTGAGTTCCGGGTTGTGATGTTGCCGTTCTTGCTTGCTACTGTGGTAATGAGTGCTGTCAGGAAATCTTCCTGATCTGATTGCAGTATTGTGTGTGTTGTTCTTCCACACGTCGAAGAGAATCCTCTTGTCGGTCAATTGTATTGCCATGATCATCCCTGATTGGATGTGAATTGCTGTGAGGATTGGATGTACCTTGTTGTCATCGAAGCCTTTGATGTAGCCGAAGTCGAGTTGTATGATTGGAAGCTTGCTGTGCTGTTTTGGGTGGTTGTTTTGTCTGCCTCTTGATTGTACGCATATCGGACACCAATTCCTGTAAGGGAGGTGTGTAACATTGTGCTCCAAAATCTCCTGTGGTGTGGGTTGCTTGGGTTGTGCCTTGTTGTTGTTCTTCATCATCTGACTCGAGCTGTGTTGGGAACTCTTGATGTTCCTCAAAGTTTGTCCAGCCTGTCCAAGGCTTGTCTGATGTCTTTGCTGGCTGTGTTGTCCATTCATCTTCTATCAACCATGTGTGTTGTCTTTCTCCTCCAACTGGTTGTACCTTGGTCTGTCTCCAAGGTAAGAGTCGCTTGATGTCTGGCCCGTCGTGTGTCTGCTCTGGTATGTAAAACGCTGTTCTGGGTTCAACATGTACTCTCTTCCAGTATGGGCCTTCTCTGTACCAGTAGTCTCCTCCAGGGTGTACCTCTGAAGGGTGTGGAAGTCCTTGTCCAGCTGCGCCTTTGGTGGTGTGTGGCGCAGGTGTGTCCTGAACTGTTGGTGGTGTTGTTTTCTCTCTAAGCCGCACGTTTGCGCGGTTTGTACTGAATCACTTGCGGTGCCACCCTCTGTGGTGCACTTTTTGGCTGTGTCTTTGTTGCAAGCTGTTGCTGTATTGCCTCTGGATGTTGTCTCTCCTTTGTATCCTGAATGTTGTCTCTCCTTTCCACATTTGTGGTTGTGCTTTGTTTGGCGCTTCCATTGTTTGATACTTGTCTTCAAACGTGTTCGTTGTACCATCCTTGAGTCTGATGGTTGTTTTCCTGTAGTCCTCAAGTTGTTCTGCTGGGACTGGACACTGTGTTCTCGAAGGTGTGAAGAGTGTTGCCTGTGTACTCTGACAAGTTCACCTTGTGTATTGAACTGCCAGTAATCTCCTGCATAGCCTGTGTCTGCAGGACCTTGTGGTGTCAGTGTGTGGTCGGTGCTATCATGCCGATCTGTCCTTGGTCCGTGTTGTGTATCTGTAGCTTTGTTCCTTTTTGCAATGCTGTGATTTCGGCTTGTAGACAGAACAGGCCATTTCTGCTCTCCAGCGTGCTGTTGAATCCTTTGATGTGATGTAGCTTTGGCTTGTCATCCAATGTAAGTTGGAAACCTTGTTCCACCAGCCTTGTAATTGAAAGAATCGGCTGTTTAACCTCACAAACGTAAAATGGTATGACAATTTGTTGTCCGCTGTGATTTGTCATGCAGACCCATCTGTACCCATAAAGCTCGATGTGCTGGTTGGTCACTGTTCTGAGTTGTGGTCCTGTTCCATGTGCAAGCTGGTGTAGTGGAAAGTGTGGTGCAAACCATGGTGGGCATACATGTGTAGCCGCACCGCTTTCAATCATAAGACTGACCCACTTGTTGTCTTCTGAGTGTTGTTGTGCTGTGCCAATCATGGCAATTGTTACTTCTTGTAATCCTGAGATGGGTGCTGCTAATGGATCCGCCATTTGTGGTGGCTGTGGTAATGCTAGTTGTTGCATGTGTGTCTGATCCTGGTGGTACCAGTTGTTGTCATAGTGTGACTGACTGCACCAGTCATCTGTCTGGTCATTGGTATCGAAGTTGCCAGTATTGCAGTTGTAGATCGCCACTCTGCATTGTTTGGCCATGTGTCCTGGTTGTCCACATCTGTAGCAAACATTTGTTGCTTGCTTTCCTTTTGATCCTTTTCCTCCTTGTTGGTTGTTGTAGTATCCTTTTCCTTTTCCTTTGTTGTTGTATCCTTTTCCTTTGGAGTATCCTTGTTGTCCTTTGAAAGGGTTTCCTTGTCCAACCGGTTGTTGATTGTACTTACCTTGTCCTCCTTTGTAGTTGTTGTATCTGAAGTTGTTGCCGTAGCCGCCGTAGCCTTTGCCTTTGTTGTGTTTTCCTTTGCCTTTGTGCTTGCCCTTTTTTCCTTTTCCTTTGTTGTACCATGTTGCTCCTATGTCCATTGGTGCCGGTCCTTGATTGCTGTTGCTGCCTGATGTGATTGACTGTTGTCTGGTGAATGACGCTGTTGCTCTGTAGTACTCGATCACCATCGATCTGATCTGTGCGTACGTTGTGATGTTTCCTGCTTGCAGCTGCAAATGCTGCTGTAGTGGTCCTTTTGTTTCATTGAGTAGCACTGCGATTTTGATCGCATTTGGTAGTAGTGTGTTGCTGTCTTGTTCGTACCTTGAGAGTTGGAACTCCCATGTTGTAAAGCTCTCTTTGAACTTCTGTTCATCAAGTTGTGGTTTGAGCAGCTTTGTAAGGTATCCAATGCTCCTTGTACCAAGAGGTATGGAGTACCTTGCATGTATAAGCCGCCATGTTTCGAATCCGTTGCCTTGCATGTTTTGTCTGCAGATTGTAGATGCTGGTCCATCGCATGTGCTCACTAGGATGTAGTGCAAGATGTTGCTCAGTTGTATCCATTGCTCTGCAACTTGTTGTGAAGGTGCTGCATTCTCAAGTTGGTCATTTGTAACTGCTCCTGTTGATTGCTCTGACTGTATAAGCAGTCTGTTGTAGTCTGGGTCTTGTAGTCCCAGGTATGCTGTCATCTTGTACTTCCATTCTTCGAAGGTGTTGTATTCGCCATTGAAGCGAGGTGGTGATATCTTGTACTTGTGGATTCCTTCTAGCTGCTGCTGTTGTGGTTGCTGATCTTGTTGTTGTTGTGCCATGTTACTCACTACTGTGTACCTCAACCTGTGAGTGCGTGTTGGAGCTCACCCTGGGTAGTGTGGTAGGATCGTGTACCAGGGATCACTGCTCCGCTGCCATGTTAAAGTTGGATTGATGTTGTAAATACCTGAAGACCTGTGTGTGACAGCGCGGCACTGTTGCTTCCAGGTGGCAAGCTGTAGCTCTACTGTATGTAGGCTCAAGGCCTTGATCATACAGATGTGCAAAGGGCATGTACAAGAGGGGATGTATATTAACATCTTTATATATATATATATAGGAATCGATGTCACCACTGGAAATATATTTTTGTATTTTTTGTTTATTTGTCTGGGTATGGTCAGGCTACCCTTAGTTGGTTTGGATTGGTGGTGGGATGTCAACCCCAGCAGCTTTACAGCCGAAATGGGGCAGATATGGGTCAAAGCTGAGCTAGGATATGCAGGAATTAAGATCCTTGGTTTCTTCACCAGGGTTCCATTTTGGGGTTGCCCTATGTTTGACCGGCAGCCATGGCGAATTTGGCCCCAAGGTGGACGTACCCTCCCACCAATTAACATGGAACCCGACGTTCGGGGCCCGGGTTTGGACCATGTCAGGTTAATTGGTGGCAGGACAACATTGTTGATTTCCCCAAAGGGCGAACCCGGTTTAGAGGCGGACGCTATTTGGGTTTAAGTAGTTTAGGACAATGTAGGGTTTTCCTCCAGCATTGAACTGCAAACTGAACTGTTCAAGTTGGTTCTTCACGCATCTCACACTTCAAGTTTTTCATGTGGTTCTCCTTATCTCACTAGAGTGCTTTTTCTTGAATCCGGCTTTCCTTCATGAGTCAAGCTCTTGAGCTTTTCCAGAGGTGGAGGATGAAGCCGACAGCTGGAAGCCCGCGGGCGCCTTGCTGGACCTGCCGTCCGTCCTTTGCGCCTTTGCCCGGCTCAAGGCCACTGGCCACGAGGGGATGCTGCAGGCCGCGGCCAAGAAGCTGCAGCCCAGGCTGGGCCAGCTCAACGACTGGGGGATCAGTGCGATGGCCTGGTCGGGGCCTCAGAATGAATGAAGTGGAGCCCATGGGAGTTTGTTTGTGTGTGTTTTTTTTTTTTTTTTTTTTTTTTTTTTTTTTTTTCGGAGGATTGGATTTCCTCCCCTTTTTCCAGGAGATACAACCCCCCCCCCCGAAGTAAGCATGATGCTCACCAGTTCGGGCGCGGGACCCATTGACTCTGGGCTTCTGGGGCTTGGTGCCTTAAAGGGCTTTTTGGTTGCAGTTGCCCCCAGAAATGTGGTTTTCTTCTGGATCAAAATTTGAATGGGCCTAAACAAATGCGGCTAGGACACCCGTTTTGCGCTTCAAGCTTTGTGTGTGTGTGTGTGTTTTTGCTTTCCGCCCCGCCGAACCCGTGGATGTACTCTGTCCTTGACTGGCTGCCAAGTGGGGTTCTCTAAAAATCGGCTTTCAGGTCATGTTCCGTGTCAACAAGAATACCCTCTTGAATGTGACATTCTGTGGTCATGGGGACGGGAATTCACCACTGAATGGTATCACAGAAAGGTGCATTTCATGTCCCTTTCCATGCGTTTGTGTCCAAATGGGAACCCTCAACACAAGTCGTTCCTTTGGCTTCCAATAAACCAACCCCCAAAAATGAGGCTCCATTAAACCAACCCCCAAAAATCAGCCCCCCCCCCCCCGCAAAAAAAAAAAAAACAAACAAACACAAAAAGCAAACACAAAAAGCAACGGAACAGAACCACGCAGGCACCTATTCCTGCATGAGGTCGTACCAGCAGCTGGACCCCGAGGACGAGTTGTTTTTCCGGGCCACCCTGGACGCGGAGCTGACGTCCCGCGGCTTGGGGACGAGCCTCGGCTGGACTTGACGTTTTTGGAGCTGACTAGGTCCCCCCAGTAGTGCCCTTTTTGCTGTTCTTATTTTGGGGAGGGTTCCCTACTAAAGTAGACGACAGAAAAAGGGTAATTACCCTTATTCTAACCTCTCTACCGGAGCACCTAGCTGAGCTTGGAGTTGGAGTGGTGTCTGGTTTTTCCCCCATAAATGGCAAGGGAAGTCATCTGAGTCCCCACTGAAAGCTTTTGTTTTTCCTCATACATGGCAAGGGATTATCTGATCCACAAGACCTTGACGTTGGATTTTGTGTTTTTCCAACAAGTGGCAACAAGTCATCTGATCCTTACTGAAACCTTGGGTTTTTCCTCATAATTGGCAAGGGATGATTTGATCCACCAAAACCTTGACATTGGATTTTGTGTGTGTGTGTGTGTGTGTTTTTCCTCAACAAGTGGCAAGGGGATGATCTGATCCCCACTGAAACCTTGACGTTGGGATCAGTGAACCAAGAGAATTGTTGCTTTTGCCCAACAAGTGGGAAGGGATCATTTGATCCACTAAAACCTTGATGTTGGATTGGCGTTTTTTGTTCCCCAAGGATTGGTCTCTCCCCAGTGGCAAGGGATCATCTATTGATCCATGAAAACCTTGACGTTGGGATCACTGAAGCAAGACACTTCTGTTGATCTACTACAACCCACCCAGGGGACTGAGCCAAGGAAGGTTTTGACTAAAACTTTGATTCTCAGACTGCACCAAGGAACTTGGCTCGTAGCCGCCATGGGCCCGAGCAGTGGCCGAAGGCCCCGAAGGCCCCGAAGGCCCAGAAGGCCCCGAAGGCCCAGAAGGTCCAGAAGGCTGCCAAGGCCAAACCACGGCGGCCTTCGAAGGACTGAGCCTGGCGCAGGAAGATCTGTCTGCTGACCATTCAAGTGACGTGGACCTTTGAGTTATGGCAATCCAGATGTACTTTGTCATTTGCAGGTGCTGTGAGCGCTGCGTTCTCGTGTCTTATGTCTAGTTTCCGTATAAGCTTTGGCCGCAGTTTCACGACAGGCGTGCACGTCAGGCCGTCGGCGCGGTTTCGAAAAGGGCCGAAGGGATGCGAAGACGCAGTCGAGTGGCCCCGGCCTGAAACTGTACTCGGTCGACCAGTTGCTTGGAATTCAGAGTCTATGATGGGCGTGGCTGATGCTTTGACGCCCAGGCGTAGGGACCAGCAAACGAGGGCCAATCACCAGCCAGCTAGTGAACAGACTTGCTACTTTAAGGTCTCCCGGGTCTCGTGATCCCCCAATCTACCACAGGTTGCGATACTTTGTGTGGCATGCAGCCCAAATGGGTACCTGTCAAAGCTGGGGAGAGCCTTGCCGGCACCCCCCCCCCCAACCACTGCTTCTTGGACAGTACTTGGAATTTTGGACATGGGAAAAATCAGTAGTTGGGGGGTGCTGTTGCGTTCCTGCTATTTTTTTACCCAAGATAAAACAAACATGGGAAAACCAGTACTTCGGGGTTGCTGGTACAACTGTGGTTTTCCTTCCAACTTCGCTTTAAACCCACGAAATGGAAAACCAGATAGGACAGCCACAGATGTTTGTTAAACAAGCCCCCAAAAATGTACCCACGAAACGCAGATGGCCTTAGCGCCATCCGCGCCATACGCGCCGTCGAGGCCAAGCGCCAGGAGACGGACGCCGCCAAGACGCAGGCGCGACGTGACCCCAAGCGACGCCACCGCGCAAAACAGACAGGACCGCAGATGTTCTAAACACAATCTCACGAGTAGAATACATAAATACACAAATCAATATATATATATATATATAAATAAATAAATAAACAAATAAATAAATTAATAAATTAATTAATACATAAATAAATAAATAATGAATGAATGAATGAATGAATGAATGAATGAATGAATGAATGAATGAATGAATGAATGAATGAATGAATGAATGAATGAATGAATGGATGAATGAATGAATGAATGAATGAATAAATAAATACATATATATATATATGTACATATATGGTACACGCAATGCAGGAGCAATGTATATGCATGTGTTTTCCCATTTACATTAAGAATGAATCCCGTAGTGCGGAGCTCAAGAGAAGGTCTCAGAATGGGATTCAGAATTGACAGTTGTCAAACAGGTTGCTATGCCAACTGCTTTGGTCCATTGACTTTGAGGCAAACGCGCCGTAGCAGAAGCTTTGGTCGGACTTCCCTGCACAGGGCCATGACCACCGGTCTGTTGGCCTTTGTCTCCCGCATTCGCAAGTTGTGCGTCCTGAGTTCTATACGCTTTTTGAATGCTGGGCGTTCCAAAGGTGCGCGCGATTCTGTACGCCACATCGCTAACTGGCGAAAGACATGCACACCTTCGCTTGGCATATTGTGTTATACATTTGCCTGAGACAGATGCACTCTGAATTGCGCAATTACATTTTTTTTAATATTATTATGTGTGCTTCAGCAGACTCTCACTATGGGCAGGAATGGGGACCCGTTGGTGGACTTGGACATTGCCCACCAACCCATGGGTGCGGCTCCATGTTCACGGGGACTCGATTCGATTCCAAACCGGTCTGATGCGGTCAGCCGATGCCACGACGCAGATTGCGACGAAGAAGGAGGAGAAGACCGCGGCGGACGAGGAGCGGGCGCAGACCAAGCAGGCAAGCGAGCTGAGAGCTGGGAGCGAGAGGTGGAACAAACAATTGCTGGGATCTTCCATGTTAGCGTTAGCCTGGGGAGGTAGGGCTGAAGGCTTAGGGTTAGGGGTTTTGGTGTTGGTTTGCTTTTCTGGGTCAATGCTGTGTGAGTGCGGGTTTGAAGTGTCCGATATCGAAGACTGGGTTCATTTTTTGGCTTTTTCATTGAGAAAGACTCTCCTTCGAGAGGGCTACACTTTAAAGGTCCCATTGTTCCTTTTTCCAAAATAGTTGTCACGAGGAACATCTTGGATGGTGATGGTATTTCAAGGAGTCGATGATGTGCTATTCCGAGTGTTTCTCTTCGCGATGATGCGGTCCACATCGATTTGTTTTCTGCTTTTGCAGTCATCCTTTGGAGTAGGGGCTGCTTCCCCATGGACAACAAGTATTTGTCATATCGGACCTGAATGGCTTGCGTATCGGTTGGGATCTTGGAGTCTTGCCACATGAGTAGGGTCGACGGTGCTCATCAGATGTGTTGAGCCCATACTGTGCAGCGCTTGAACCCGCCTGCTTCGTGTGACGGTCAAAGCTCTCAACAGCTCTGTGCACTCTTCTCCTGGTCGCTCTCCAAGGGAACCATGGTTTGCCTGAAGAGGTGAGGTTTGTGCACGCCATGTTCGTAGGAAAGTATTTTGGATGACTGTTAATCGATGTATTGGACTCAAGCGACCTGTCGGACGCGTTGCAATCGATCGCGCCGCGTGAAGTGTGGCCGATGAGCCTTCGATCTGCTAACCATTGTTACATCCCTACCAGAACTGGTCATGACAGTGTTATGAGCTCTTCTGCATATCAGTGATGTCCGCGGCCTGCTTATACGAGTGCTTTGCGGCCATGTACTTGGATGGATTTGACTGCGTTTCGCGCGTTGACCGTGCAATATGACCACAGGACGCCCTTTCCCAGCCCTGTGCTTGTGTTTCTAGTGACGCTCATTCAACGCCACCATCACCCTTTATGGAGGTTTCCCAAATGGTGGACTCCTTTTTGGTTGGTCAACGCAAAACCAAGGCAAGCCCCTGTTTTGGCTGACCTTCATTACACAGAACCAAGACTGTAGCCCCGTTGACGCTTGTGGATCCGAGGCAATCAAAGATGCACGCAGCTCCATGGGTGACGACATCGCGCTTGGGCCCCCAGCAGATTTTTGGCAGCTGCTTGTTTCAGGCTGCTGTCAGTAGCTGCTGGGCGATGGGTCCTGGAAGAGATAGTTGGGGAGATTTTGTGCGTAGCCCTCTGCTGGCATGCTTTCTCTATGCATTGGCTGCTTGGAAGTGTGTCCAAAGGTTTTGCTCGCTTTGCTGACCAAGGGGTTGGCACAGCCCATGCTTGCACGTGCGCAAGTGGACGCGGGTCTCGAGATCGATGGGGCCAGTGTTGTCTTTTTCCATTGGCAGACGCTGGATGGCACGCGCTCGAGGTTTGCCAAGGAGGTCAAGGAGAAGTGCGGTGCGAAGGCCAAGGCGGGGCGGGAGGAAGGGGCGGAGTTCAGCAATGCTGGCTCATTGTCAGTCTTCCAGCGCATGAGACATGGCAAACCATGGTCCTTGTTTATGCAGGGGATGAGTCACGGAGAACATGAGGCATAGTATTTGGTGGATGGGGCAGGGTCCAAGCCACTGCGAATTCGGCGGGTGTTCCCCATGACGCGCACAGCAGCAGCTGTGGATTGAGGGCTGAGCAAGTATCGGAGCTGTGAGCTGGGGCCACTTTGTGTGCTAGTGCCAAAGTGTACTTGGCGTGCTCTTGTACCCAAAAGCTGCTTGGCTGATTTCAAGGTGCTGCCGGTTGCGTGAAAGCATATGTGTATATATATATATATATGTATATATGTATATATATATATATAATATATAATATATATATATATATGTATGTTTGGGTCACAACCCAAAGCAAGTTGCGACATCACCTTGTCGCCCCAGACTTAATGTCGCCGTTAGGAGTGGGAGAAGCGCCAAAAGACCCGGTCCTCCGAGACAGAGGCGGTGGCCAAGGCGGGGAGCAGCAGGGCCATGTTTTTGTTGCGGTGGCCGCGGTAGTGGCGGTGGGCGGGGGGCGGGGGGTGGGTTGAAGGGAACTCGCCATTGCTGAGAAGGTTGCTCTTTGTCCCAATCTAACCGCTTCTGTGACGCCAATTGATCAGCTCAAGTGCAGGGCAAAAAGCTCCCCTCTGAGAGGAACTAGGTGTCTTGTGGTAACATGCCTGCCATTGGAGCTCGCCGTTTGTGAAATTGCATGCATGGAAGGATACACTTTCCACACCAAATTGTTGAAGACTCGGCGGAACCACCGCAACCCCGGTGTGAGATTCTGTTGGCTTGCAAGATCACTTCAAATACACACGACGCCCTTGAGCGTCCGAAATGTTTGGGTTGCACACTAAAAATAATCGCATTTGATTCAACGTTTTGTGCCTGCAGCCCCTTGAAGTTGCATGCCTGATCAAGACAGAGGAAGTTTTGGATCTCTTTCGGATGATTTGTCAAATCTTATTTTATGAAAAATGTGTTTTTTCACTGTGAAACTGTAATTTGTCTAAGCATCAGGTGGGATTGTCTCCAAATGGGAGAACCCTCCAAATGGGCAAACCCTCAAATTGGCTGGAATCCAGTAGTTTTGCTTCTGGACAGCTCCACGAAGGGGTGTTTTGAACAAAGGCAGCACCTTCTTTGTTCTTGTTCTTTGGTTCTTTGGTTCTTTGGTGCTCTTCATTTTGTGGGGTGGGCGTAAAAGCAACAAATCAACAAACCGCCATGCAACAAAAGGCTTTGGGGGACATGAAGCCCTTTACAAAGAATGAAATGACGCTTTGCTGTCCTTCCGCCACAAAAAGCCTTTTACAAAATCTAACGCCGCTACCGCCTACATCTTCCCAGGCCATCGAGGTGCTTAGCGATGACGACGCGCATGAGGCTTCGGACCATGCGAGCGCTGAGCACAGGTCTGTTTTTGGGCAGCCCAGTGCCTTGTTTCGGCGGCCAACCAGCAGTAGGGGACCCCCTTTTTGGACGGTTTTAATGAGACCAAAAGGAAACCACCTACTTTGAGGGTAGACCACAGCCATGTTGGTGTCCCAAAATCGCTGTTTGTGTGGTGCTCATTTTGCTCTGACACATCGTCGCGCTTAGTTTGGTTGCACAGCCTTGGCCAAACTCATCAGCGAGTCTTGGACTCTCAACAGACGTCATGTTCAAACTAAGCCCCGATTCAGCCAGGGTCTAAAAGTTGGCTTGAAGTCTGGTTCTCGGTGGTCCTGGGCTTGAGTTTCGAGTTCGGCAGTGTGGGTCAGGTCGGCCGATGTTGCCTGATCATGTCAGTTGTGCGAGGGGTGTAGATCAGTGATCACAGGCCATAGCGAAGCTGGCTCACAGGAGGTTTGTATCATGCTGTGTGTCATTGTTTACAGGCTTGGGCCCTGCAAGTCCTTTGTCCTTTCGTGAGTGTTGCAATGCGCAGCTTCCGCCACGGTGAGGTGGGGGGGATTGTTATAGACAGATTGTTCGCAAGCCCCACCTTCGAGGATTCGGGGAAAGTCGGACCCATGCGAACAGTTGGTTTTACGCCGATTCCCTTTAGCATCGACTCCCAGAACGGGGCACGAGCAGCTTCTTGTTTTCACTGAAAAGGGCTTTTGGTCAAGATCCTTAGAATCTTCATCCTTGGGACCCTTGATTCATGGTCAAATGGCAATCATTTACGGTCTGGCATGCGGTCCTGCGGTTGAGTCTCAGAGTATTGCTACGGACACATGACGTCCCTTGGATTAACTGTGGACCATAGGTTTCAGTTGGTTTGCAGACCATCCCAGGGCGAGCATTGGCACGCAGTAGGTATTGCAGCAACCGTCATTCAAGATGTTTGTGTTTTTCTTTGACCAGTTGGCGTTAGCGAATTTGTTGCAGATGTCGCCTAGAGTGCTTCAGATTCCCTTTTGATAAGCTAACATCCAGTTGCTTGCGAATTCATTGTCCAATACACTTGCTGCTTACAAACACCTTGCACATCGAGTTTGCTCCACTTTCGGGTGTGCACATTCGCTTGTCTGGCCACCTTGGCTTCGTGCCACTCAGTCTGTGGCCGAGGCTTGATGTGGGGTGATCTGTGGCCATCTATGTTAATGTCAAAGTTTGAGAGGCCGTACTTGCTTCCCCGTCCCCCCGTCCCCCCCCCCAACTTCTTTTTGAAAAGCAGGTTGGTCACTGAACATAACCACCCCCAAGCCAAACCAGGGGCCCTGATGTTTCTCTTTCCTTTTGGAGGGGCAAATTGAAAGGAACTCCAGTTTGGGTTGATGCTTAGAGGCGACATACGGATTTGTCTGCAAATTTCAGCGAGTTTCCGGTTTGCCAGCGAGCCCAAGACGAGCACCGCGAACCAGAACCTCACCCCCACGGAAGCCAAACCAATGAAAATCCCTGCGCTTTGGGAGGTCTTCGGCAAGACTTTCTCCTTCCTCCAGGCCCCGGGGCGGGGGGGGGGGGTCCCGGGGGGGGGGTCCCTGGGGTGGATGGGAGCTGGATGCATCGGTTCCAGAGCCCCCGAAGCGACTTGACCCGTTCACAGGAGCGGTCCTAGGGAGCTTCCGGCGGGTCAGGAGTGTGGGCTCCGGATGTAGCCCAAGTGACCAAGTGAGCATCCGCTAGGAGTTGAAGGCATGTGCGAGCTGGCAGTCCATCAGAACGAGCATGAAGCAGGGGTTGACGGAGATGAGAGAGGCTTGATGGAAAAAACTCGTGTTGGAGCAACCTTGTTGGTTTGGATGGGGTGGGGACGTTTGGTTGGCGTGCTTCGGCTCGGCTTCTTGGTTGCTTTGTCGATTGTTTGTTTGACATAGGTTCATTTTGGTTGAGGAAGTGGTTTTTATGACACATTGTACATGGCGTCCGTGTTTGTCAACAAGAAAGGGATCACGCTCCACTTGTTATTTCTGCAAATGGGTTTGGATTCTGGCCGCGGGGTCAACCCCCACAAGCCTCCAGCAGACCTACTCATGCTTGTGATCATGCCAGTGGGTCAATCGGCACGGTCATCGCCGCTGCAGATCATCGCCCTGGAATCTTTCTCTCATGAGAAGCCACGCAGGGTGTGGGTCAGCATGACTTGCTCTGAACATGTCGCACAGATTTCCGGATTCCAGATTCGCTCCAGCCTTGCGCGTTGGGGGTTTTGGGAAGACCCGCGCCGAGCTGCCGCGCGTCTCGGCAGGTCTCCGAGGTGAACGCGCGCCGCGAGCGCGCGGCCGCGGCGCTGGAGAAGGCGATCAAGGGAATATGGCGGCTGATCAATGGCCCCCGCGGCGATGGGTAGCCTTTGCCATGGAGGGATGTCCGATTTTTTTCCTTTCCGCGGGGTCGTCCTATGTATGGGACCCTTTTGATCAGCCCCCAAGTAAGCTCCCCAACCCAGGCCCCACCCCAACCACAAGTATGATTTATAATATAGCATTTGATTCTGGGCCCTATCTGGCGAACCTTGCAATGAAAAACCAAAACACGAAAGAGCTCCAAAATCGCCTTCATCCGGGTCCATACACAATTCTGCTGCGGGTCAAAAATTGGTACCCAAACTGGAACCCGTTTAAATGGAACCAAGGACGAAATGACCCATACCTGGCCCATACCCAAATGGGTCATAAGGCAAACCGCCGGGACCCAACCGAAATGTTGAGAGAGCCGCAACCGCCATCAAACACCCCAAGCTCGGCTCCCTCCTTTCACCGATTTCATGGGCGCCTCGAGCAGGTAGATTTTGTTGACCTCTGTTTGACAAGGTTCCTTTAAGATCCGTTTTTCAGGCTGGTAAAACATTCAGTGCAGAGCCGCAGAGCTCCTGTGCCTTCTTTTGTTTATCTCTCTCCCTCTCTCTCTCACTCTTTCGGGCTTGTCAAGAGCTGAACCCACCAAGCCCCGAAGGGATCCAAAGGGAAGCCGCTTCGTCCCAAACGCCACTTCCCCCGAAGCCGCCGGGCCGGCGGGCCAGTGGGCCAGGCGGGGCGCAGAGACCAGCGACTACAGACCTTGGCCCTGGAGACGAAGCTCGATGGCTTTACCATCGTCAAGGCGAGTGGGTTCAGAGGGCCAAATTGCACCTAAAACAGGGACACCACCCCATGATTCTTGGGGCCTGTTTTTTGGGGTAGATTGAGCTACCGAGCCAATGGATCGCTGGAGGCGAGTCGGGGAGGGTGTGTTGTTTGAGGGTAAAAGAAACGGAAGCCGTTTTGGGTAGTCCCCTTAAGAAAGACCCGCCATGTGGTCCCGCTGAACGGCTCTTGGGACGGTCTCTAGGTGTTTCGGGCTGGCTCGGCTTTTCTTTGGCTCCCCAAACTTGAACTGGACCCAACGGCTAAGGTGGAGAGTCAAAGGAACAGGTTGGCAAAACCGGGGGTTGGAAAGTGGGAAGGCCGTCTTTCGCATGCACCTGGTTGCCCAAAGTTGGCCGCGAATAGATCAGTGCCTTTGGGGTGGATCCCGTCTGAAATGGGACACCTGGGATCAAAATCAGCCGCTTTGTGAATTCGATGTGTGTCCCTACCATGTTGCAAGTCAACCAACATCACCCAGGAAGCCATGGTATTTTACAGTCAATTGGACCTTGGGCATAGGAGTGTGTCGTTTTGCTAGGCACCCCCTTTCTTTTTTTGAGGCTATGAAGGAAAACCAAAAGACCGTTTGAGGGGTCTGCTAAAAAGCGACCCACCCTTCCCACCCAAACCAACCCATCCGTGGCTTGAGAGGAGAAGATCGACGCCATGGTGGGCGCCCTCAAAGAGGAGCAGTCCGCCGAGGCGAGAGGTGTCAACGACCCCAGGGGATTGTGTGTGTCTGTGTTTTTTTTGGCGGGGGGGAGACTAAATGGCTGGTGGTGCTTTTTGTTTTTTCTTCTTTTCCTTGCTTTTTTTTTTGGGGGGGGGGGCTTAAAATGGCTGGTTCCTTTTGGTTGGTCTTTGAACCAAGCCCCAAAACCCTTTCCCCAAAAAGGGCGCGCACCAAAAAGAAACACCCACTCATTCTGAGTGTGACACTCTGATCCTGTGGCTGGACTTCTGTTCACAGATCGCTGCGACCCCAGAAAGGAACGAACAAAGACGTGTGCTTCAGAGCCAACTGCGCCAAAGGTCACTTTGGTTGGAAAACACGGGTTCCACCAGTGGCAGCTGTTTGTTGAACAGACACCAAGGATACGAACCTTGATTCGGTTGGGCAAAAACAAATCGCCCATGAATCATGCGCACCTGTGGAGACTCTCCCCCCAAACAAGTGGGTGATTTCACTTTAGCCCCAACTGGGTCCTTCAGAGTGAACATTTGGCGGGGGTTCTCAAAAGTGCTTTGGGTCCCCTTTTCCCTTTCCAACAAGGTAAGTTTGGGGATCATTGTCATAGGTGTCCTGTTTGGTTGTTTTGGTAAAAAAAAGAAGAAGAAGATGGCCCTGCTGTGGTTTAGTCATCCACCAGGGAAATCCATCTATTTCCCCTCAAAGGACACCTATGTTGGGGATGCTGCAAATGGACGTCACAACATGGACACACATAGCCACACACAGGGTTCTACTTTGTGACTACTCCAGGATGGACTTAAACCCAGCGGTGGTTCATCACCCCCAAAAGGGGAACCCTGGGTTTAAGCCTATCTTGGGGTAGTCAACCAGTGAACCCTGGCCACACAGACGTCACACCTAGTCATCACCCCGGCGAGGTGAAGAAGAAGGACTACTGCCTCAGCGAGCTCCAGAAGAACAAGCGCCGCCAGCAAAGTTACATAAGGGCTGAATTGCACACTGATTCCCCGAAAATTATAATAAAACAACTACCTAGAGTCTCCATGACCCTTAACAAATGAGGGCATTTCCCTAAATAATGGAGTCATGGACCTATTTTTAAAGGGTCATGGAGACTCCAGGTAAATGTGCTTTTAAAGTACGCCACCTTCTAATTATTCTATTTCGCCCCTTGCTACACATACCGTCACATACCTTGCATTAGGCCCTTTTCCAGCCATGGGCAGTCCTCTGATCGGCTTCCATGGATAATTTTTGACCACTCATCGATCACGTCCAGGCCAACTGGAAAGACATGATTCCTGGCTCCTTAGAGGACCCGCAATCAACCACGGGTTTCTGGATGAGCCCTTCTGTTAGGGCCAAGGGTTCGGTCCTGCTTGCTTGAAGCATCGCTGCGGCTCATTTGGATACTCAGGCTTCACATGGAGTATGCAAGGAATTGTTCTCAGGGCAGGGGCAGGGGCATGGCGACATGTCGCTTGCGAGGTTTCCAAGAAAGCCATGTGCAACAGTTACCAAGAATATATCAACGTGTTCCGACGCTTGGGGTCATTTTCAGTGTCATTTGTGAAGCACGTGCGGGCTACATACACTTCAACCGTCCCCCTGGTCAGGATTAGGTGTGGACGTCCGCCTTTTGGATTCTTCATCTATTTCTGGGGTTCACTCCTTCAGTTTCACTATCAAATTTTAATTATGCTCGTGACGGCACATTGGGGCCTGAGCCGTCCTGGCTCAGCCTGTCCGCCATGCAGGTCGAAGTGCACTTGCCGAGTGGGAAGAGCTGCTCTGTGTCGCTGTCGCCGGACGCGAGGGTCCGAGAACTGAAGGTCGAGGCGCAGCGGCAGTTGCAGCGCCGCTTCCTGAGGCTGGTTTCCGGAGGGCAGCAGCTGCCTTTGTCGTCCACGTTAAGGGAGCTGGGCGTGCGAGACAGGGACAGCATTGCCGCAATCGTGCAACCAGTGAAGATAGCTTCCACGGCTCAGGCGTTCGCACTCTACACTACTGGAGGCGCTGTGCTCACTTGGGGCCATCCCAGCGCTGGCGGTGACAGCAGCGGGGTGCAAGAGCAGTTGGTGCGCGTTCAGAACATCCAAGCAACGACCAATGCTTTTGCTGCAATCCTGGACGACGGCTCTGTGGTGACATGGGGCGATCCAGGCTGTGGCGGTGACAGCAGCCACGTGCGGGAGCAGTTGGTGCGGGTTCAACATATCCGAGCAACTGAGAGAGCTTTTGCTGCCATCCTGGTCGACGGCTCTGTAGTGACTTGGGGGGAGCCGAACTGTGGTGGAGACTGCAGCCAAGTGCGAGAGCAGCTGTTGCAGGTCCAACAGCTCCGAGCAACTCGCTTTGCTTTTGCTGCCATCCTGGAGGACGGCTCTGTGGTGACTTGGGGCAGCCATTGGGATGGTGGTGACTGCAGCGAGGTCAGGGAGCAGTTGGTATGTGTCCAGCAGATCCAAGCAACTGCTTGTGCTTTTGCTGCCATTTTGGACGATGGCTCTGTGGTGACTTGGGGCCATCGTAGCTATGGTGGTGACAGCAGCCGGGTGCGAAAGCAGTTGGTGCGGGTCCAGCAGATCCAGGCTAGCGCACGGGCTTTTGCTGCCATTGTGGACAACGGCTCTGTGGTCACTTGGGGCAATCCTCACTGGGGTGGAGACAGGTGTCAGGTGCGAAAGCAGTTGGTGCGGGTTCATCAGATCCAAGCAACTGAGGGTGCTTTCGCTGCTATTCTCGAGGACGGCTCTGTGGTATCTTGGGGCAATCCTGGCTATGGCGGTCACAGTGGCCAGGTGCAAGAGCAGTTGGTGGGCGTTCAGCGGATCCAAGCAACTGAAGGTGCTTTCGCTGCCATCCTCGACGATGGCTCTGTGGTGACTTGGGGCTATCCGGGCTGTGGCGGAGACAGCAGCCAGGTGCAGGAGCAGTTGGTGCGCGTCCAACACGTCCGAGCAACTCGGAGTGCTTTTGCTGCCGTCCTCGACGACGGCACTGTGGTGACTTGGGGTGATCCTGACAATGGGGGTGACAGCAGTAAGATTCAGACTCTACTGGACTGGTTGTGAAGAGCTGGCTTGCCCTGAAGCCTTGGCTGTGTTTTGGTTGGGTTTATCACTTGCTTTTCACTTGTGCTCTTCGGGTGTCTCCTATATGTGTTTTTTCGGATTCACTTGCACAAACAGAAGAATCTACTGCTTTGGTGCATCCGGTGCTAGACGAGCCGGTGCATTCAACTTCTGCTGCCTGGCCCATTGATCGATTCCGCAGATCCCGATCATACTCCCTCCCCGAGTCCCGGGACTTCATATGACTTCCGGGACTTGTTGGGAGCAACATAAGAATCCATGTGCTTGAGAATATGTCTTACTTTATCCTGTTGGTTTAACAGGGAATCTATCACTACTGGAAATGTGGTTTCCAGGGGACTCAAGCTTTTGTTGGCCAATCTACTTGTGAAGTGAGTATAGGTTACTATGCGGTGGATGTGCGAGTTAAATAGTGCAAGTACGGGAACAATGAATTACATGCTTTTTGTCGCATCCACCGACCGGAATTATGGGGAACCGGAATCACTGGGTACGGTTCGTTGCATCGCCAGATTGGGTTGAATCAAGTGCGGCTCAACTCGAAAGCGAGTTTCCGGGCTCATCGATCTTCCTGGACCTTCCAACTACCCTTGAAAAATCATCATTGCCTATTTCCCTGAATACCATGGGGTGGTTTTCCTTTAGGGTAGTTTGAGGCCAGGTTGCTGTTTACCGCTTGGAGAAATGCCAACAGCAGCGGACGCCATGCGGCCTGCGTTTTTGAAAATGTAAAACACCTCGCGGAAACCAAATAAGCACATTGCAGACCCCATGGCTAGGCCAGGGGCCATTCTGTATGTGTTTGTGTGGTTTGTGTGGTTTGCTTGAGGTGTTTTATGCACTTTCGGGGAGGCCAACAACCTCGAGCAAGCCAAGCAACGAACACAACGACGAGAAACATTGCAGACCCCATGGCCCCCTAAGCCAGGGACCTCAGCAAATTGGGCCTGAACGCTTGTTTCGTGTTTTTTTTGGTTGGGTTTCTCGAAGTGTTTAGCACTTTTTGAGGTTGGGGTTAGCAAGAAGAAACATCTCGGTGCAAGGAAGAAACATTGGGCACTCGGGTGGTGTACCTCATGCGACCTGCTCAAAGCATCACTCTCTAAAATAACATTTAAGAAGACCTTTGCAGTTTCAGAGTCCCTCATTTGGTTGATTTCATGATAGCTATGCAGCAATGCATGAAAATGTGTTTGCAGTGACCAAACGGATGAAGACATGTTCCTGGTCGCAGGAGCGGGGTGAGGTGGATTCTTCTGGAGGTGATTCCAACTTTCTATTTTTTGGAAGTTGGCCTCATCCATTTCGGTTGACCAGGTGATTCCAACTTGTTCAAGTTGGTCATATTGGGAGGGTCCTGCGCCGCACGGATAATGCGAGTGGATTCATCTGTTGGACCCGTACTGTACAGCTGTTCTCGGCCACGTGTTTGTTCTAGTGTTGAAGGTTGTTGTTCGGAGAGGAGGGGGGAGCTGAGCAATCAAGACTTGGACACCGGTTCCACATCGCTTGGTACATCCAACAGATCAGGCACCCCATACTATATTGGTGTTGCTCCCTGAACAATCGAGTAAACAAACCTCGAGGGGAACATGGGCCGGCTCGAGTGCTGGTCACCTTTGGGCATGTCTTCATTCTTCAGGGTCCCCTTTTTGCTTGGGAAAAAGGGAACCCACCAAACTGAGAGGTTCCCCAATTTTGAGCCCATCTTCCCTCTGACTTGTCCTTCTGGGAGAGGCGGAGAAGACCTCCTCTCGCTAGGATGGTGACTGAGAAGCAGCAGCGCAAGGCCTCAGGCCTAAGCGCCACCAAGGAGGCGGGGTTGGTCAAAAGTTGTAGGATGAGATGGGTGTGGGTCAAATCAAAACATTTTCCGGGGCAACCCATTTTGGGTATGCATTTTTGGCCCACCAGATGGGATGACTTCATTGGGCCGGGGAAAGCAGGCTACCTACAGAACTCAAAGGTTGAAGTCTGCAACGCACAGCAAAGGTTGAAGTCTGCAACGCAAGGTTGCCACCTAAAGAGAAAGCCGATGTTTCAACCACATTGGGCAAGTTACTCACACTCCGGAGCCGAGAAACCTGGACTTTAGCGACTTTTTCGGAAGCAGTTTCGTGGTAAATCAAAAGTTCAGATCTGTTTTCTGGCCAGGGAAGTGAGAAACTCTTTGGTTGTCCCTTTGGCTCCCTAACCAACCCCAAAGGAACAAACCTTCAACAAAAAGCAACCTCTTTTGGTCCAGATGTTATCGGGCTGCTCGTTTTCATGTCTCCGACCTGGGAGTTGAGCATTCACGCGCTTGGCCTGACTCAGCTTCGCCAGCCCGCTGCAAGCGCAGACATGTTGGGCAGGCATGTTCTGAGTCTTGCCACTCTGCTTAGCTCGCGCAGGAGCTGCAGATGAAGATGCAGAGCGCTTCGGAAGACCTGGCCACCTTGCCCGGAGCCTGGAAACAACCAGCTGAATTGAAGACTTGCCCATTTGGGCGGCTCCGGTGAACCTCCCGTCTTTTGTTGTGGGGGGGTTTTCCCTTGCGTCATGCAAGCGCCAGTTTCGGCATCGGGACTGGTGGGAAGTAATAAGCCCTGATAGACCTGGAGCAAAAGAAGTGTAATAGCAGATTGAATGTGCCATTTGGCAATTGTTTTCCGGGGCACTGACCACTTATGAGCCTCTTATAAGACTCTTATATATGGTTCTCAACCTTCTGAGTTCCCTGGATGAAGCGAGGGGGGCACCTGAACCTGCCTTCGGAGGTTTGTAGCCCCGGACTTTGTTTAAATCGACCACACAACGGGCACCAATGCTGAAAGGCGTCCCCCCCCCTGCCTGAACCAAAGCTTTTGGCCATGCCGTGCAATGGCATGGGGCCAAGGCAGACAGATATCAAGGACCGTGGGAGCTCTGAGCACGCTTTCACTGACATGCACAAGAATGCAATGCCATGACCCATGCTCTTTGTTTTGCCACAAGGGTGTTTCTCAAATTAGGGGGGCCATTTTTGAATGGTTTCAAGAGGAACAAAAGGGCATCGACCACCTGAAGGGGTCCCTCATTTGAGGAGCACTCATATTTTGGTGGAGCATTGGATCAGGAGCTTCAGAAGCAGCAAACCTTGGCCTCGCAGAATCGCGAGAAGGAGCCGGGAGTGTCGGCGGGCCGGCGGGTTGGCGGGTGGACCCTTGCGCTTGTGCCAGGGT